TAACATCATTTAGTTACTATGATCATTCAAAAAATAAAAAAATATAGAACTTGAGTTATGATTATTTAGAATGATATACAATCATGCACTTATTTACATTTTATTTTTCAAACATTAAATACAGTGAAATTTATTAATTAATATTTGATAAATTAATAATGGATAATTCTCTCAAATAGTATATTTTTAAGTTTTTTGTCACAAAAATAGCCATTAAGAAGGAAAATAATCAAAAGTGATTTCATTAAAGAGATAAAAGAATTTTGTGTAATTTATTTTATAAATATGTAAATAATAAATATAAAATAAAAAATTAAAAAAACTAAATATTAAAAAAAATTATATTTTCGGATTATATGTTTTTAGATTAGCACTTTTAAAACTTTTTATTATTTTTAATTTTTTAATTTTATTTTTGAAATTCAAAAATGTTTTTTGAAACTATTTTCAAATTTTTATTTTAAAATTTGAAATATTTATTTTCTATTTTTGAATACTTTAAACTCACCCTCAAAACCCCCACCTTTAACTCTATACACAAATATTTAGGATTATTTAACCCAATGGACATAAGAGTATATTTTCCCTTCAATAAAACCTCTTTTGGTCTTTTTCTACCTTGAAAGTTATTTTTGAGAAAATAAACTAAAAAAGACAATCATATGGAATTTCTCATTAATAAATTAATGGATAAGGTAAGTATAAATATGACATAATTCGATAGGATAATAAGATAAATTTTTTATAAAATGTTATAAATATATTCTCAATATAAACATAAATTAAAAATCAAATATACAACATATATAAATATAAAAAACTTTGTAAGCTTTAATATTAGTTATATTGAAGTCCATCTTTAACCCGTTTAAGAAACTTCAAAATATTTTGATGTTATTTTATCACTTTACATCTAAATTACATCCATATTTTATAGTGTACATTTTCTATAAACCAAATAATCGAATAAAAATAACACAAGTTTATTTTTGTAAATTTTAATGAAATGATATATCTTGAAATTACTCAATTATTTATTCTTCTTATTTTACACGAAAAATATTTTAAATATTAGTCAGGAACCGGAAAAGTTCATCGGAGCCAAGACTGGCAGAGCTGCAAGCCACATCGACAAACCAACTATCCATCAGCTACCCAGAAAACCTGAACCAAACAGACAAAACTACTTCTAATAGTAAGAAAAAAGACTGAGACCCACACTAGAGTCACTGATTCTCATCACCACCTTAACGACAAAAAATAGAGATAACAAGAGAAGATGAAGAAAAACGAAGGATCTAGAGAACCAAAAAACACATACCAACTTCAAGATTTGGAGACTAGTGTTTAGATTAGCCAAACTCGTACCCTACAACCAGCAGACCTCCATTGCAACCAGATATCCACCACTTAAAAGATTCAATATGTCTCCCTCAAAACAGATTTAAGAAGAGATGAGAGAATGAGTGGATCCATGACCAAGCCACCTCTTAGCCTACATCTCACACTCAGCACCGAGAGCAACCACATACAACACCTTAAACCAGAGAGACAAATAAACCATTGTGGAATGCTGAAGAAGGCTTAGATCCGGACCTCACACATCTAGGCAACGAAACCAGAACCCAAAGACCACCAGAAGAAACAACAAACAACCGTCACCTCAGATATGGCCATCCAAAAGTACGTGGAGTCAAACTGTGGATGTAGCACATGGCTTAAATTGAAAGAAAGACACTAAAAGAAAAAAAAAAATATCCCTTTCATAACGCCAGAAAAATCCAGACTCCAGAGAGGCACACTAAAGTCGGCATCAGCATCAGCAAGATAAATAGAGAGCTAGGGAGAAAGGATAATACATCAAATAACTTTCAATGTACTTATTTGGTTGATTAAGATATCTCAATTATTTCAACTTGAATCTGTTTACCCAAGGTTGTGACATGCAAAACAGTACAATTTCCTACCTCTAGTAGATTTCTGAGAAACAAAAAATAATGCTCTAGATATCATGAAAACTTAGTCCAGATAAGAACAATGGTGGACTTAGTTTTCGTGTTATCGATGACCTTGATATGATTTTATTTTCTCCACAATTGTTGAGACTAGTTGCTTTTCAGATTCACTATTCTTAAAGGTGTTCAAGGATGTATTTTAATAATGAAAACTTTTTAGATTCAGTTGGATCCTACCATCAATCTTATAATTGGCTATATATTGTATATACTCGATTTTGGGCTATAAATCTTATCAAAAGGGTGTGATAAGGAAAATATATTTCAGTATGGAATGAGGAACATATTTACTCAATTGAATAAGGTGTCTGTTGTCCTTGAGTATGTACCAATGGTACCAAGTATGCTAACCAGGCGGTTTTTAAAGCTAGATAGTTATGGATGACATTATACAAAATTAAGGAATATATATGGTTAAACAATGATATAACTTTTAAGAAGCTCGTTCACATACCGAGCTTACCATGTATACTAACCAGGCGGTTTTTAAAGCAAGATAGTTATGGATGACATTATACAAATTAAGGAATATATATATGGTTAAACAATGATATAACTTTTAAGAAGCTCATTCCCATACCGATCTTTTTTTTTTGTTAATGTCATGATGTTAAATATTTCCAGGACTTCTCGTGGTGATGAAAATTCTCACCAAAAATCAAATACTTCATCTAGCAAGTTATACCGGGAAATGTTACCAGTAGAAAAAAATTACGATACGAGGAATGAAATGTGTTTGTTATGTTGCAAAGAATGAATCAGTTATTTAAGTTGTATACAACAATACATATCGCATCAGTCTATCTAAATTTGGATTAAATATTCTTCTGTAAATCAAATTTACCCATGAAAAACATGATATTTGTGGAAAATTAGAAAGTACAAAATCAATTGTAGCATTGATAAGGATATATAAGAGATTATTAAGTCAACATAACATAATCAACGATATGGAAGGGGCAATTTTATAAGATTAATACTAGGAAATCTGTGAACCAGTAAATAAAGTAAATATAATTAAGCTTCATATCTTCGATGCAGTCGTCCATTATAAACGCCGGTGCTATATATGATTTTTTCATGTATGGATAATTCTTCAGTGCAGTCATCCGTTACTCTCCGGTCATCTTTTTTAAGGCTAGATTGAAGTCCAAAGATGACCAGCTCTTCACATCTGTTACTGTTGGGGTTGGGGTTGTCAACCACTTTTTATCGTTGTAGATATTTACTTGCATGACGACCAATTTGGATTTTGTACCTTGTAGCATCACGTGTCATCCATATCTACAAGTGTCATCCACATCATAAAAAATGGCTAAATAAATTGAAATCAATTCTGATTTTGAATAGTTTGCCACATTTCAATAGTAGGTGTTTTAAATTTTTAAATTTCAACGTCTTTTAAATAATATATGTAGAAATTCGTGTATGAAAAACCATGAAGATTTTTATGTTCTTTGTCAATAAATAAAACAGCAGCAGTTGAGTTTGATAGATACTATAAAATATCTATGCAAGTTTATTTATATTTAGTTTGTGGAGCATGTCCCAATATTCACACAAACATATTTCTTAGCAGTGTTTCTCCACAATTTTTTACCTTCTTTCGTAATATTTTTCTTCGTGTAAAATGATATACAAATTTTTAGCCGTCTTGTGGCATCACATGTCCTCCAGGCCAGCACACATGGTTGAATAAGCTGAATCAGTTGCGGTTTTGATGAAATTGAGCACATTTCAATTGTCTGTTTGTTAAATTGAAAATTAATACATTTATGGTGTTTTAACCATTCTACTAGATTTGACACATGCTTTAAAAACGCGTGTATATTTTTACAATTTTGATAAAATTTGATTGATTTAATTAAAAAATTAATAGTCTTAAAGTTGTAGTATTAGTGTTTCAAAATATATGTTCTATTATATTTAATTTTCAGGCAATGTTTTCATATCCGACTCGAACTGTGGTTGAACCGATAGATCTGACGACTTGTGTTTAATCTAGTTCAGATTTAACAAAAATTTGCTAGTTAAAAATTTGATAAACCTCTGTAAGAATCCAAAAACCATGATAGCAAAATAACTCATACATTTTATTATTATATAAGACTGAAAAATTGTAATTACTTTGTTAAAATTTTTAATACATCATTTGAAAAATTAAAATATTGGTAATAGAAAAAGTAAATTTATTCATATGACAATATAAGTTTCTTTTTCGTTTTTAGTAACTTATGAAAGTTGGTATTCCTATTTATTTTATATCTAAATTCTAATTTTATGATAAGTTTTAAAATATTTTTGAACGTTCAAAATTAGCATATTAGTATTATTTAAAAATTATATAGTAAATAATATTTTTCAATTTTCATGTATATATTCAAACTAATAATACTAAGCACGAAAATAAATATTCAAATTAATGGAGAGCATTATTTGCATAAAACTAGAATTAATCTTATTTAAAAATATGGATAGTATTATTTACCAAAAATATAAGGAATATTCTCTTGTTTAATTTAAATAAATACTATAGATATTAAAATTAAACGTCAGTGAAATAAAAATGTAAATAACGTGAAAAATCTAGGTAAGAATTCTAATAGATATTCTGCTTTAATAGTATAGATGTATGTTTATTAAGAAAAAAATATCTAACAACGAGTCTAGAAGAACTGGATATTTTCCCATAGACGAGATAAATATATCTTTGTAAGGTATTTATATACACTTCGATTAAAAATCAGCAGTTGGGTTCGAATCCACATTCTCATGGAAATAAAGTCAGGCTTAGTTAACAAGTTGATCTAAATGGATACAATACATTATTTACACTAATGTACCCAATATTATTTGTTTTGTAATGAAATTTTTCTAATATTCACAACAACATAAGTCTTATCAGTGTTATTCCACAATTTATTTACCTTCCTTAACATTCTTTTTCTTGTTTGGGCTATAGCTACCGAAAAGACTCCATCTCTTCTAAAAGGCATACTGCGAGAAGAAGACCCATGCAGTGGCCGCAACTCCGGCAAAGAGAAGGAATGCACCACTGATGGTTAGAACTTTAGAAAGAGATAGGAATGTCATTCTGATAATACCACTCATCAATCTATTCAACTTCACTCTCAAACTTTCCTCTTGATCCCTTAGCCTCACGGGGAATATCTCTGAGCAGTAGACCCATGTCAGTGGTCCTGCACCTATTGAGAATGTTGCCACAAATGTCATCACCATTGTAACGCTAAGTCCAATAGCCCACTTGAGCGTTTGTCTTGGGTTTCTGTCTATCACTATGAGACTAGTCCCGACGGCTATCAAAGAAAGAAACATTCCGCCCATACTCGTGAGAATCAAGGCACGATGTCGAACCGATCGACCACACAAGTCCCTACAATTATAAAGAATGTTTTGATAACCCCAACAGCGACAGTTTCCAAGAGCTGGTCATTCTTTGACTTCAAGCCAGCCTTTAAGAAGATGGTCGGAGTGTAAAGGATGACTGCATCGATCCCAGAGGCTTGCTGAGTGATATCACTCAAATATTTAACCCTAAGGAGTAAATTACTCTTTCAAATAAGAGGTTCAGTTGTAGTACTTAGGGATCGAATCCACATGGAACTGAGGAACACAAAAGATGATAGCGATATCGGACGATATGGGTTTCCGTCGATCGATGACTCTATAGGAGTATCGATCGATATAACATAAGATCGAATCGAAACTGTGTTCACCAAGATCATAGACTAGCTCTCGCACATCCCTAGAGGATCTAAGCTTATGCCAAATGATTTCAGGATAATGATTAACAAGTTAAATCACTCCATGATCATACTCTAGTTAGCTACTCTAGAGTAAGCATTAGGGTTCATTTGGATAATGAATATCACAACTCAACATTCCATAGTTGGGGCTAATCCCTCATAACTATTTGAACCCTAAATCTAACAAAGGAATCTACTCAGACATAGCTAAGTGATTCATAGCAGCAAGGTAATAATAGAAATTCATAAGATTAGAAGACTGAACTCTTGGTTCTTTGGAACAACAAATCTCTTTGTGTGTTTCTTCTAAATCTCGAATTCTATAACCTTTGAGAATTAAGATGAAAAGAATACTTTATTGCTAAGTATAAAATAGTATCAAAAGCAAACAAAGCACAAGAAAACTTAAAAACATGCTTTGCCAAAACACATAGGCATAACTATAAATATGAGTTCCATTAGGTTAAAAACTCGTCAAGGGCAATCTTGTAATATTGGGAAAACTTGGGCTTCAAGTCGGCCAAGTCAGACTTGTTCTCCATGCTTGATATCGATCGATGGTTCATGGTGTATATCGATCGATGGAGTATCTCGACTTCATCTTCTATGGAAGCGTCATAGATCGATTACACAGGGTGTGTATCGATCGATATGTATCCTTGTTGTCTGATCTTCATAGTCATCTCGGAAAACTCTCCTTTAAGCTCCATAAGAGCACCTAAATTATCTCTTTACTCCAAAATGCTCCTAAACCTGAAAACATATCTAATAGACTCCAAAACATATATATAACTTATAAAAACATATCACTACCATGGCTAAAAGTGGGTCAAAATCATGGTATATCAATTCCCCCAGACTTAACCTTTTGCTTGTCCTCAAGCAAACCATTAGTTAGTTTTTTGGAAGAATTTTTAAAACAGTAGGGACTCAATAAAATCTTAACTTTAAAATCACCACTTCTACTTTGTTGCAAGCCACATCTCATATTACTAACTACAGAAGTACATTATACCATATCCTAGCTTAGCAACCAAATTCATCTAGCCAATCAACTTAAACAATCATGTCTGTCTATCCCCTCTACTGATTTCATTTATGCATAAAATAAAGGTGTAGGCTTTACCTTGAGAATATCGATCAAAGAACACTTGGATTCAACTCAAACAAGTTTCAGACATTCTCATTCTGGTTCATTTTCTCCCTTTATCTCCCTTTTCTGAATCCCAAACTTTTTCTTTTATATCAATCCCAATGAACAACTAATGTTCATCTTATTGATCTCTCTACTTTTTATAGCTTTTTTTTTGACAAAGTGTAGGCGAATAGTGGGGTCATAGGTGATTTACCTCTCCCTCGCTTCCACAATGTGTGATCATTCCTTTGAATTAGAATACTGGGGTCATGGGTAATGTACCTCTCCCTCTGCCTCTTAGGAAATCATCTCAATCTTTTATTTTCTCTTTATGGGATGCCAAAGGAAGGAGAGAAAGAAACCAAAATTTTTGAGACTTTTACCTTCAAGACTTGCATGAGGATTCGATCCCTTGTATACCAAGCCCCAAGACAAGCAATAGATGTCAGGTTAGGTTGGAAATCAGCTTTGGTTCTTCCAAACAATCATGAAAAGTGTATTCATAGGATGATCAGTGATCCACTTTAGTATCTATAGTACTTTCTGAAATCAACAATTCTAAGAATGGTGCTAAAGAGGAGTAAGATAGAAAGAAAAAAAAATTTGAAATCTTTTTGTCCCTTTCTTGACTCAATAAAATCGATTTTTGAAAACTTTTTAAAGAGATTAAAAATGTAAAGTAGCATCAGTAATTCCAGTCCCCCAGACTTAAATCATACACTGTCCCCACTGTATAACTAGTCGGAGTTAGAGCATAAGAAATAATAAATGTATAACTGATATCAAAATTGTGAACGATATACCTGACTGATGTTCGTATCGATCGATGTTGAGTCACTTCCATCGATCGTAATGGATAGGGTTATGTCGGGCGATGTAGACAGGGTCTCATCGGTCGATAGGTAATGATCGTGTAGCTATGTTCCTAAAAACAAATAAAAACGAAAGTAATAAGTAAAAATAAAATAAAATAAAACTAAGAAAATACCTAACAGTGGGTAGCCTCCCACTCAGCTCTTAGTTAAAGTCATTTAGCTTGACTATGGAGGTATGGTGGTTAGTGAGGTGGGTTGCAAGTACTTGTTGGGAAACAAGTATCCTCCTTGTCTTGTGATTTTTCAAACCATGAAGTTAAAAAGCTTCTTGTGGCTTTCTCACTTCTGATCATACTAGCTTGCAAACCATGGACCTCATAGATTCTTTGCAGACTGATATACCATGATTTTGACCCACTTTTATTCATGGTATTGATATGTTTTTATGAATATTTACTAAAATATAGAGTCTATTTAGAGTATTTACAGGTCCAGGTACGTTCTGGAGAAAATGGTGATTTTGGTGTCTTTTGGAGCCTTTAAGTGCAGAACTGCGCAGACGCGTCAGATGTTTAGATATGGATGGAGACCTTCCCATGGTGCGATTGAGTCCATCTTTTGACACAAGATAGAACGTTGAGTTAGCTTTCTAATGCCACCGGTTTGGGGTCAATCCAACGGTTAGAGCAGAAGTAATGCCCGTTTTACTGAAGAGTGGTCAGTCTGCCTCGCGAGAGAAGACTGTCGGGAAGATATGTTCATATCGATCGATGAGAGACACTTCATATCGATCGATATGGATGCCAGAATGCGGGCCGAGTATATTTCATGACCAACTGAAGCCCAGAAGAAACCTAAATTACCAGAATGCCCTTGGACGACCAGAAACCCTATTTATGTTATTTGCAAGCCATTGTTGACGGCTATGCTATCTACGCTTTCTTTTCATCTTTTGTTTTGATTGTTCTTAGAGAGGATAGAAGAGGGGAACTCCTTCAGAGTCCTCTTGGAACTCCATTGGAATTATCTTTATTTTCTTATGTTATTATTATTCAGACTATGATTTGTGTTTCTTCTATCATGTCTGAGTAGTTCATCTTGTTAGGTTTAGGGATTTTATGAGCTTAATGTTAAACTGAATATCAATTAGGATTGCTAGAATATCTATAGATCTCTACACCAGGGTGATTTGTAATACTAGGATCTGGAGTAATTAGGATACCACGATAGTGTGACTGATTGCTTGAACCTAGAATCATAGGACAATTGAGATGCACGAAAGTGCAGTCAATTAACGGAAACCGAATCCTTCTGGATTAGATACTTAGGCGCAGATGAGAATTTGGTCTAAGAATCTAGTTGAACATAATCGATTAGGTCGTTAATGCTTGTCTGAGGTAATATCGATCGATACTCAGGCCATAGTATCGATCGATACTCACTTCTTGTTCGCATGCAAAAGGTGGAACAAGGACTTAGACATTTGATTAGTAATTGCATTGATAGATGGATTACTTACTTATTAAAACTCGCAGACCGTTTTATAAAACTCGCAGACCGTTTTATAAAACTCGAGAAGCCGTTTTATAAAACTCGAGAAGCCGTTTTATAAAACCCGAAGATCGTTTTATAAAACTCGAGAAATCGTTTTATAAAACTCGAGAAGCCGTTTTATAAAAATCAAGAAATCCTTTTATAAAACTCGAGAAGCCGTTTTATAAAACTCGAGAAATCATTTTATAAAACTCGAGAATCGTTTTATACAACTCGAAAAGCCGTTTTATAAAACTCGAGAAATCGTTTTATAAAACTCGAGAATCATTTTACAAAACCGCAAAAAAACCGAAACAGCCTTAAAACGCGAACTAGTCACGACTAGTTCGCCCACGGGCGAACTAAGCCGAGCCGCCGGCTTAGTTCGCCAATGGGCGAACTAAGAGATGCTCGACTAGGTCGCCCATCGGCGAACTAGGATCACTCGACTAGTTCGCCCATCGGCGAACTAAGCCGGCTCGGTTTAGTTCGCCGATGGGCGAACTAGGATCACTCGACTAGTTCGCCCATCGGCGAACTAAGCCGGCCCGGCTTAGTACGCCGATGGGCGAACTAGAAACTTCCTGGACGTCCCGAGTCTCGGTCTCCCGCATTCCCGATTTGAAACATACGTCTTCCGACACGGTCGCATTCTGAACCATGGCCGAAACATCTCCCGTTCCATCTTGATCCGACCCATCGTTCGAGTTTTACGATAAAAACCGTAAAACTGTGCTTTCTCGATAAAGAACTCGAAGAAATCGTATAAAATGACAACGGTTGACGAAACACCGAACATTGCCTAAAACATACGATTTATTCGAGATTTCTCGTCGAAATCGTAAAAAACGCGTTTTTAATAAAAACGTCGACTAAATCATAAAAAAACACGTTTTTAATTAAAAAATCGAGTAAATCATAAAACCTGACGATTAGCTCGAGGAATTGATTAAAAACGACGTCAGATCAGGAAACGATCCCGTAAAAAGTCGGAAAACGGATTTATCGCAAAAACGGCCCGGAAGGGCCTAAAACGCGATAAAAACCCATCTCGCGATCTTAACGGAATCTAACCCGCAGATTTGATAACGTTTTGACGGTTTACTCGCAGGAGGAAAATAGAAGTCAAGTTTGAAGATAAAAGGAAGGTTTGAAGAAAAATAGAAGATTTCCGCGGAAGAAAAGGAAGGATCGAGAAAAATGG